AGCAAGTGCATATTCAGTAGGTGTAGAAAGCTTCTTAAGCTTTTCAGCTGGGAATCCTTTCTCTATCCGAAGTTCACCCACAAAAGACCCTTTCTGATATCCAACATAGCTTCCATCCTTGTGCAACGTATCAAGACTTGTAACGGTTGGTTGTAGGTTATCCACCGTTAAGATGGAAGTTAGATTTGCATTATAACTTGCCACAATAATGAACAATGTTAACATCCACAAGTATATTACGAATCTAGAATAGTTGGTCTGGAGATTTCCTTCTGTAAAATAAAAAACAAATTTATAAGTATCAACTCCACAAGGCATAATGATGCCACACATTCTTTTTTTTCCCATACATAAGTACTAATAAAAAAAGGAAAATATTCACAAGATATATACAAAATATATTAGAGTGCACCTGATTTATTGGAAGATACTAAATAGGGGTGGCAAATGAATAGGTTCATTTAGGTTCGATGTAGGGTTGAAGAGAAGACAATTAATATTATTTATGTTTCATATACTACTTTTAATAATCTTTTTTACAATACAAAAAAATAATAATAATTAATTTTAGCTAAATTAATAGCCAAATCTCCAATAAATAACAACTTCCAATAAAATACACAACTATTGAAAATAAATTTGTAACGACTTATTGAAAATTTATATTGTATTTTTGTTGTAAATTTATTTTCAATAATTGTGTTTTTTCATTATAAATTTTCAATAACTATTGGAGATTAAATTATTGTTATTTATAAGAGATTTAACAATTAAATTAACTAAAATTAATTGTTTTTATTTTTGTATTGTTAAAATTCATCAAAAATAATATATAAAACATAAATAATATTAACTACATAGAAGTTAAAATATAAAAAAAAATTCTACTCTTATATGTTTTTATTGTTTAACTTTCATTCAACAAATCATGTGCATTACACGGATCCCCACTAGTTTGAATAATTAAAAAATGTAAACAAATATTTTTTGAGAAAAAAAAAACTATAGCTTTTCTATGTTGCTACGTGTCCTTAAGTGGATGGTTTACAAAGATACAAAAGTTGAGATTCAATAAAATTAAAATCAAGGAGAGAGAAAATATAGTAGAACCGGAGATCAATAGAAAGGAAAGGAAAAGGAAAGAAGTCGAAATGGATGAGAGATAAGTGAGAAAAACATAGGACGGAGAAAATACATGAGAGAGACCCACAAATGGAGGAGAGTAGAGGGGGAGATACTGTATGAGAAAAGAGAAAAAAGTCAATAATAAAAGAGGAGGAGAGAGAATTGGTGAGAAAAAGAAGTAGAGAGGGAAATTGGATTAAAAGAAAGAGAGGAAAGAACGTGAGGAGGGAGAAAGAATAATTTGTAGGATTGGGGAGAAAAAGGAGAAATACAGGAGACAGAGAATGTGAGATAGAAAAGAGAAAGTCAAGATAGAGAAAAGAGGTGAGAAAATTGAAAGAAAAAAAATCCTAAAGAATGAGAGAATAGAGATAAAATTTAGAATTTATAGGACAGAGAAAAGATGGAATTATGAGGAGAGAAAATTGTTAAAAAGTGTGTGTGTGTGAGAGAGAGAGAGCAAGAATTGAGAAGATGGTGACGTACATATAATTGGCCCAAATGAATACCCACAACCAAACCTAACACAACCCATTTTCTATGGCCCAATGGATTAATCAACCCACTCCACCAACTTATTGTTAAATGGATGTGTAGGGTTGTGTTACGGATGAATGGGTTAGAAATTGCCACCTTCAAATATATAAAAGATTTTGAAGGAGCACTAAATGAACATGTTCACATATGTTTAAAAAGAAAAGGGAACAACTATTGCTGGTTGTAGGGGAGGCTTTGGATCAAATCCTATTGTCACTAGTGGGAGGAGGTTATGCATAGGGTGATGGTGAAGTTCTATTTTAAGAAATTATTAACTTTAAATTTTAAAGACACTCATCAATTCATTTTGCACCATAAAGCTGTAATTTCATATGAAAGAAGGAAGTTGATTAAATTTAAAAAGGGTAAACTACTAAACTTTATGTCCAACAAAAGAAAAAGAGATTAAGATTGCAACTTTACCTTTAACTAATTTAATATGAAGGGAAAATTTGGAAAATAAATCAAATTTTATAAAATTGATTGGAAGGGTTTGGGATAACCATTCATACAAAAAATTGAAAACAAGACATTTTGGTCAAAAGTTACTACATGAACACTTTGGACATTTTCATACCTCTTATTGGAGGATTCTTACAGTGGGGGTTCATTTGTAACTATGTCAAAATGTTCAAGGGAGCGATTACAATTACCAAGCTTCAAGGGAAGTTTCAGCAACAGTTAGAAACTTCAGGGGACGTTCCAACAATTTACCCATTTAAAAATAAAAGAAACTAAACAAACTAACAAGTATGAATAACTTTTCATTTAATAAAAGGGAAAATATGATACAGGAAAGACATGATATCAAAAGGCTTTGACCAATCATAACCCCATGAATTTTGATGAAAACCCACCTATTTGCTTACTACTTTTGTGATACTAGTTGATTAGTTGTATGTTTTTCTAGTATCATGTCTTTCTAGCATCATAATCGATCCCTTAGGCTATGTTTGGTTTAAAGGAAAAGGTAGGGAAGAGAAAGGAAAGTTAAGGAAACCTATACAAGATTTGTGAAGGTTTCCCTGACTTTCCTTTCTTTTCCCTACTTTTTCCTTCAAACCAAACATAGCTTTAATAAAAACGTTTTACATATTATAACCAATCAATGAGAGAAGAATCATTCACAATTTAAAAAACACCCTTTAAAATGCAAAGTAGCTTTCATAGAACTCAACACTTGGAAAATCCATAAAAATACCTTTACTTACTTTGTGAAAAAACTAGTAGGGAGAAAGAAAAGTAAAGAACTTTTCCCATCTGTTGAAAATATGAGCCMTGTAAACTCAGGATTTTGTTGATGCTCAAATATCCATACTAATACTCCTTTCAAGATGAAGAATGCAAAGGTGGTAAACCATAGTTGTGGTGTAAATGGTTTCAAGAACCACCATAATCCAACTGTAAGGTTTTCGTGCTCTACTGGTACAACCATGCGAACTCCAAAACCAGTATATGGTTGAGTGAACCCCACAAATTTTGATCTATTCGATGTAATTGTTATGTCTCCTACTGCAGCATTGAAAACCTGTTCTCTTGTTCCCACAAATAAAAGAACCAGAAGTAATGAATTATCAATGTTTGATGTTGTTAAAACATTAACAAATCTAACAAAGCAACACAATGGAAGTCATCACTTTCAACAATTTTGTCCTAAAAAATCTTATTTAAATATGTACGTAAGAAGATGGGCTAATGCCTTGATAATCATTTAACTCCTACCTGGTTGAAGGATATGTGCCCTATCAAATGCATTTTAAAGGTTAATTTTAGGATTTAGGGTCCATTCTTCTTTTAGATTTTGAGAAGGCGAAAATTGGTCAATGGGAATTTGGTTCCATTGACCAAGAAACCCATGTTCTTTTTTTAGATTTCTATGGGGTTCATGGAAATTTTATTTTTCCTAGGTATCACAATCAATGGCGCCAATGTGTGTGGTGAGTGGCCAGTGGGATGCTCGAGTTGGGGATAGGCCTGTAAATGGATCGAATTTGAACCGAATCAGGCTAGATTCGAATTGGAACCCGATTATGAAAAACAACATTCGAATTCGATTCGATATCCGACGGATATCGATTGCTTAAATTCAGATTCGAATTTGATTATTAAGTCAAATATTCAATTCGATTTGAATCCGACCGGTATGAGGCCTAGAATCTTAAATGATTGAATTTGCAAAGAAAACATGTGATTATCTTGAGAAAAGCGGTAGGAGATTGACAGTGGTAGTCGTGGGTTCCCAGTGGTGTGAATGCAATGGTAGTGAGTAGTGTTGGCTGGTGATGCTGGACTGTTGCAACACAATAGCTGGTGATGTTATATGGTTGAGGGCCTTGAGGCGTTGAGCTTGAGCTTGAGCATTGGCGAAGGAGATGGTAGTGGCTGGTGACCAATGCTCGACTGCTCATAGCTTCTAAAGATTGGAAATTAAAAAGAAAGAGGGAGAGGAAGAGAAGGGAAGTGTGAATAGAAAAGACGGAGGGATAGAGAGGAAGAGAAGAGGTGGAAGAAGAAATTGAAAACGGGAGATGAAACTGGTTTGGATCTCTAGTTTATATAAAAATAAAATAAAATAAAAGAAATGGAAGAGAAAAGGACGACTGGACGAGAGAGAGAGAGGAGGGGAGGGGTTATCAAGAATGACAGCATGCACAGGTGATACAATTCCACTGTTAATTTTCAAATTYGATAAATTAATCGGTAAAATGTATAAATTTGAATTCGACCGTTCCATTCGAATTCCAATTGAATAAAAAAATCGAATACCGTTTACACCCCTACTTGGGGCTCAAAGGAGATGATGACAAGAGATAGGAGGGGAAAATACGAATGACCTTAAAACTTTTGAGAGAAGCCCTGTTTATGGGTTTTGTCTTTTTGCGGGGGGTTGAATCGGGTTTGTTCAGCTGAACACCCTGTTTTTTCGAAATGCCGATGTGGTCGCTTGGCGGGTTCACGTATCCAGTAAACTCATGGATGCACAGAACGTGGATTTTCACAATCCGGGCTTCGGGCCTAACTTTATACTATCTCGGTCTCGGACTTTCAGCCGGACCCATTAGAATTTTGATAAAAAACGAGCCCGAGCCCGGCCCATGATCAGGTTTCGGACGTTCTGAAAATTCCCTCTCCCCCTCCATTCTCTAATTCTCTAAGGACGTGGTAATTCTCGAAGGCCACCAGAACTCGATGACTTTCTGTTAGAATTTTAAACATAGCGTTGTAAGAATCGTGGTAGTTATTCTGCAACCTTTGTTACGCTTTGCCCTGTCTTTTAAATTGATTTTGTAACGGTCTAAATCCTTGCCAATTGACCAATATAAGAGTTGGTGTTTTCCATTCAGAGAAGAGCTTCTAGAAAAGAGAAAACAGAGATCAAAACCACTTGATTTCCTCAGACTTACCTGCGAATGGTGATCCATGGCTCCAGAGCCAGTTCATTCAGGTGGAGCTTCACAGCTTGAATTCCTATGTGAGTAATCCTCAAAACCCTAAAACCCAAGTAGTTTTCTTGTTTGTGGGTTACTTCGATGTTTTGTCTGTTTTCTTGATCTTGCATTTGAACCTGCAACGTTGGCGACTGGTTTCTGCAGCTCCTCTCAATGAGGAGGGAGCTCGGGCGAGTGACAATGGGACACTTGCCTTCCAGGACGTCGAAGCTGAAAACCGTTGGAGAGTCTTTGACTGAGGAAGAGAGGGCTGCGCGTTTGCTCGAATCGTATCGGGACATGGACGAGGAGGTAGAGGATTGTGAAGTCTTCCTTCGGGTGAGTACTATTATAGGATCTGCAGCTTGAATGCGTAATCGTTGAATTTGAATTCATTTTTTTATGCAGTTTATGGTTTTGGGTTGAGAAATTGGAACTGGGATTAAGGATTTTAAGTAGAGTGAGCAAATCATATCGTTTCAGGTCTATTTGAAACTGCAATCGCATGTTAATGCTAGAATTGGTAGCGGAGCAAAGAATTCGACTGCATTTCTGAAGGCTGCTACGATGACATTGCCTCACACCATCAGTGGATCTGAGAAAACGTCCTATGTTGCTCATATAAACAACTACCTAGCAGAAGATCAGTTCTTGATGAGATACCTTCCTATAGATCCTTCCACTAATGATCTCTTCGAGATTGTAAAAGATTGCGTTCTTCTATGGTGATTTTCCTGTTAAGCCCTTTGCTTTAATTTGAATTTGGAGATGGTTTTCTTTCTTGGTTTTGGGGCTTTGTAATCTGAAGGCATATTCTTTGATGYAGTAAACTTATCAATGTGGCAGTCCCTGGGACCACTGATGAATGAGCAATCAATACAAAGAAGGTGCTGAACCCTTGGGAAAGGAATGAAAATCTTACACTATGCCTCAATTCTGCTAAGGCTATTGGGTGTACAGTAGTCAATATTGGCACGCAGGACTTCAAGAATATTTTGGTCCTGTCACTAGTTTTTTGATATTTCTCTGAATATTCTGTTCCATGCCAATGCACAAAGAAGTAAAATCTATTAACCTAATATTCTATTAGGTTCTTTTCATATGAACCCTGAAGATTATCTAAAAAGTGCATGATAGAAAGCCTGTAAACTTCAAACAAGATTGGAGTTTGATATCTATGTTTATTTCATTATTCTGCCCTTGCTTGTACAATAGCCGATACCATATGCTTGGTAAGTACAATGTTAAGTTACATGTTTGGTGCTGTTGCAATGCATATTCTTTTTTCTTTATTTGGTCCTTCTGACGACTTTGGTTGGATTTTTGTTATTTTCTTCCTCTATAATTACGTTGGCATATTGTAATCTATAAACAAATTTATATCTGAGATGGATTTTTGTTGCATCATGTTGATTTTGATTAAATTTATTTTTTTCCCTCTACTAAGTTACGGAAGTTAGTAGGGTGCTCCTAAGTGCTAGCAGTTTCTGGTCAGTATGAATATTAATATTCTCTGTGTTTTTTATTTTCACTGTCATCTAGTGCTTGGGTTGATATCTCAAATCATTAAGGTATGCTCTGGTTGTCATCTATAAATCACTATTATATGAATGAAGTTTGAGCTTTGTTTAGACTTTAGAGTGTTAAGTCTTGATTCTGGACTRTAATTGTTTGAAAGCCATTTTTCTATTTTGAGCACATGATGCTGATACAAACTGAAAATTATATAAGTAATATTTTCTGTAATTGAAACAATTACTTTGATGTTTTAACCTTAGATACAACTATGAGCGGACCTCAATTTGAAGAAAACACCTTAGTTGATGGAGTTAGTTGATGATAGTAAGCATAGTTTTGAAGGCGCCAAGGCGACAAGGGGGCGCCTTGTCGCCTAGGCGATGGATTTTTTTCAAGAAAAAATATGTATCCTAGGGTAGTTCCCTAGGTTCCATAATCATATTTCCTTAATAATTATCCATAATTTTCATGAGAAAAGTATAAACTTCATGTTAAAGTATAGAAAATCAACATATTCATGAGAAAATAAGAACATAAATTTCAAAAAATATAAGAACATTCCTATTTCTGTTATAGGAAAAGAAGAAAAGGTGAAAGAAGAAAATTGGTATATAGTATAGACACACAAAATTAGTAAAGAAAAAGGAGTAAATGTGTTGATTAGACAACATTTTAAGTTCTTCCTTACTTATTGGTTCAGGTTTTGAAGTCTTTCGGGGTTCAGTACAGCATTTAGCAACGTTTGTGTTGATTAAACCCTATCAAATAAGAAAATCATGAAAAGAAATTAGTATATAAACACACCAAATGAATATTTTAGTTTAAAAATGTCGATTTTAAAATTATAACCTCAAAAATTAAGGGTGTGTTTGGTTCGCGGACAGGACCGGAAATGGAATAGGAATCACCTATTCCGGGCATCTGTTTGGTTCAGTTAGGAATCGGAATCGGATTCCGACTCCTGCTGTTTGGTTCAACTAGAAGCTGGAATCGGAATCAGCCAAAATTTCCAATTCTACCCCTGTTAAAAGAACCTCAAAGATTACTAGTACATCTTTAAGCGTAATGCTGGCTTATCATTTGCTTGTTGGGAAACTTTTGCAGATATAAACTTTTCCATCTCTAGTGCTTCATCTGGACTTTTGCAGATATAACATAAAAAATAATCTCGTGGCACAGTTGGTTGGTCAGCCTCATTTTGATCATGAGATCATCATATTCCCAAAATCTAGGTTATTCGCCATCCAACTTTAAGGATCCAGCTCTGGCTAAATGGGTTTGCAACCACATTGCAATAAAGATATATGTCAGTCCAGGCAACCAAAATAAAAAAAAATAAAAGATAAAAAAGCAAAAGCATACGGTAGAAGAAGACCTAACATTCAATAATTGTTTCAGCCTCATAAACATTATATTGTGGCTTCAGCTGAATAAAGTCATTCATCACAGCTTCTATCTGATTAAAAAAGATAACATGTCAAAAGAAAAGCTATATGTGTTTTGCAGGATTAAGTACCACTCCTAAACCACAGATTAAAACTTTGGTGGTTATCTTTGAAAACTGTCTTAGCAAAGTCATAAATGATGTACAAAGTTCAGACCAACTCCACAATTTTCACTTATTATGTGCTAGGTGCTTGAAGTTCTACTCTTTTATTCGCTTACAAGTGTTATCGAAATGTAACTAATTCAATGTACTATGCTTGAAATATATAATTATTTGCTTTCTGTGGATGAGCTGGAAATTAGATGTCTTTTAAACCGGATTCAGAGTCCTTGTTCTCTAAAAGAGGTTTATTTCCAATGGGGTTTGTCAGAACAAACTCTCTGCCAGAACAAACTGGCAGAACAATCCAAATTAGAGCTAGTGATGCTACAGTAGGAAAGTAACTACAAGGATTGCCAAACTAAATTCCATCAAGATGATTATTATGTCTTGGAAACTTTGTTTTATTCCCTAAAATTCACAGCCAATTTCTCATCATTCATATAGTCTTAGCAATAGAATACAAATAAACAAGAAAATAATTTCTTCTGTTTTTATTGGTAACAAGATGAAAGAGATTTTATTTAAAATTAAAGATGGCAACACTTCTCAAAAGTCTATGGTAGAAAAAGAGATTTTATTAAGAAAAGAAACGAAATGTAGGCAAAAGGAAAACGTTTCAAACTAGATTTATTTTTTGGACCAATATATTTCAAACTAGAATTTGCTTTCTATGTATCATGTGACTTGAAACTAAATCTCTTTGTATCAGTAAAAGGAATGCATTGATCAGGAAGAAAATGAGAAGGTTGACACCAGTGCATTCTATTAGCTTTGAAATTGGAAATGTATAAATTGGGAAAGGCTTGGAGGAGTTTCAGACCAGGTAATTCATTGACACATCTTTGCTTCAGCCTGACCAAAGCTAACCTGAACAAGGAGAGTTCAGTGTAAATTGTTAGCAATATAATCATTTTCTAAACACAGACAATTCACATAAGCTTTTCTTAATATATAAGTAATAAAAAATTTGAGAGTACAAATTGGGAAAGCCCTGCCTTGCCTTTCCACCCATTTGGAAATGGAGTCTTTGGAAGCCCATTCTTGGAGAAAAATTCACTCTCCTATTATAACACAAATATTGAAAGCAACTTCAGTCCATTTGTCCACTTCTTGTCTCAGAAAATAAAAGTTTTAACTAAAACCTAATCAATAGAAGAAACTTCTGAAACTCTTTATATATATATTTTCTTTCTAACTGCCTAAGAACCCTTTTCTTTATCTCGTTTGTATGTTCATAATCACTTTAACCTACCTTTGACTTTCTCAACAGCTTGAAAACTTAATATGGTAGTGTACTATCTCAATGTGGATATGGGATATCTGAAACAAGTGGTTGTTGATTCATTGAAACTTGAAATCCCATTTAGTTATATCTGGCAGTTAGAAGTAAAAGATGCTTTACAACTCAATTTTATTTCATCCCACTTGGTGCTTGAATCCCAAAAACCAGAAACCAGGCTGAATGTTTCATTGAGTTAATTGAAATCACTTTGTAGTAATCACTTTCCAGTTTCCATACTTTGAAGTCTGGAATGGACCTTCTTTTCTGATCAGTAATTCGAAGGCCCTCTTCCTCCTCTCTGCACAAATATAACAAAAGCAAGTGTGCAATTAGTGAGCATATTCAATTGCAGCTTGTTTAAATCTCAACATTAGGACAGCTCTTTGTAGTAACAACATCAAATGCATCAAAGTTTAGTTTATGCTAATAAGTCATTTGCTCTAATTAACTTTAAAAATCCTGAAATCATTGCTGTCCAAAACCGGTCTTTGGAAGATTTAAATAGCTGGTAAATTCTTGGGATCTCCAWAAAAGGCAAAGTGATATATTGTCTTCTATAATGAAAGTATTCATTTGGCAAGAGAGAAAAGCAAAGAGTTTTTAATAATAAGAAGATGCAAAGGGATGAAGTACTTAGGAATATCCTCCAGTATCAGTGGTAGAGGTTTCATTGAAGCAGGTAAGGGATGATAGCACATGCAATCAAGGGATCGGATGTCTTGATGTGGAGGGCAGTGCTGTTCTTCAAAGGAACAACAATGTTTTCCAGTTGAGGAAGTGTTAATTGGAAGAATTGGTGCCAATTTGGGAATGAATCCTAGAGGATTAAGTAAATCTTATTTGGTGCATGTTACTAAGGTTTTGTTGTGGTTAAAAGAGGGACTTGCTGGGACTGGACCCAGTAATAAATATAAGAGAGTTTTTTCAAGGAAGGTTGGTTCTAGAGCTACGAATCATAAGGTTCTTATTGATATTAACTCCAGTGATCAAATTAACATTGATGACAGTTCTGAAGTTGGGGAGTTGAAGAAGATTGGAGTCCTTGAGGTGAAAGGAAAGGAGTATGTGGGCAAAGCTTTGATAAATAATGGAGTTTTGAACTTAGATAGTGGGAAAAGGAAGAGTGGAGTGGACTTAAGGAAACTAGTGGAGAGGGATATTGAAAGAGTTTGAGAGTGGTGAGGCTTTTTCTAGAAGGGCTTCTGAAAGAGTTTTGAGAAAAAGAAAAGGCGAAGCTAAAGAGTAACGCTCAAGAAGAAGGTGGAGAGGCATGGAATGAGGGAGAGGGTCAGGATTTCAGACGTGAAGGACTAAGTGCGATGGGAGAAGTTGTGGAAGTTTGATACCCTGGTTTTTAGAGGAGGCAGATGCTGTTGTTTGAAGTGTTCAAGAGGGTTGGTTGGAGACTTGGAGATTTTCTCATCTGGATTAGGGCTAGTGTTGCTTTGTTTAGTTCTTGGAAGATGGTTTTAGTTTGGTTTTCTGATGTTGGCCCTGGATTTGTGCTGGATTTAGCTAAGGCACCTACAACAAGAAGGCTGTAAACATTTTTGTATAGGTGGTTTATAAGGGGTAGTTTTATTAAGAGTGAAGGACTAAAAAAGTAGGGCTTCTGATGGAGGATATTTAGATGATGAGTTCTGTAGTGTTTCATTTGATAGAAAGCATAAAATTTGAAGGGAAATTAAATACTTGATTTAAGGTGACATTCAGTGTAGGCATAAGGCTATATTTTTTTTTAGAAAAGGGTAAATTTCATGTCAAAAGAAGGGGGAAAAGGATGCATATGAGGAGAACCGGAGATGTACATCAACGCCAAATATGACCAATGGCCAAAAACAAAAAGACCATCCTAGAATTTACGAAGGCTTTGAGGAGTCACTATGCAAAGAATCCCTTCCTTCCCCTGACTTGGCCAAACCATCAGCTTACACAATTCAACG